TTAATGGACCACTTGCGAGCCAATGTTTAGACGAAATAACGGGACTTTCCGAAATGGACAACTTTCAGGACGGACGATTATTGAGGGACCACTGTAATGTGTATATACGTACTACATATAATTTAGTTTGAGCATGCCACCACGAGATGGCGGTGTATATCAAAACAAAGATCAGCAGTCCACATGTGCTTACGGAGCTTAACACGCAGGTGAAGGAATACTCCTATTTTTCTTATGTTTTGTGCAGCTATTTCATGAAATTTCTTGGTCCTAACCATGGGTCCTAAGAAAGCAAATCCACAGCAGAGTGCCGAGAAGAAAAAGAGGATGATTACCATGGATTTAAAGCAGGAAATCATTGATAAACATGGACAAAGTGCAGTTAAGTGACAGAGTGCATCATTAATAGTGTAGCAATTAAGTGTACATAGGATTAAGAGTGTAGCAATTAAGTGTACATAGGATTAAGAATGTATCACCCAGAGAAAGTTTCAAATGGTCATGCAATGGACCTATTTAATGATGCTTGCATAAGTCATTTCCAAAACATTCTGAAAGGGAGGAAGAAACAAACCTCCTTGGAGAGTTTTTTCTTGAAATACTCTGCAGATGAAAGTGTAACAAGCTTGGAAAAAAGACAAAAAATCAGTGAATAGTGAAGTACGTATCATTAAAATAAAAATTGTAGCATTTAAGTGACAAAGTGTATCATTAACAGTGTAGCAATTAAGTGTACATAGGATTCAGAGTGTATCACCCAGAGGAAGTTTCAATGGTCGTGCATAAAATACTTATTACAAAGAAGGCCACTAGTATGCCTAGTGCATTGGACCTATTTAATAACAGCATACACCGATGTGCACAGCATCTCTTCTCCATCTCCAAGGTAAATGCTGTATTACTACATAATTTCTTTATGGATGATTGTTATTATTATTATTATCATTATTATTATTATTATTATTATTATTTCATTATTATTATTATTTTATTATTATTGTTTTTCTTATGAAACTATGTACATAGTAATCTAAAGGAGTTTGCCTCACAAACACTCCGTTTTCTGTTTTAATAAAAGCATGGGAAGGTATGTCAGGAGGAGCAATGGCTGCCGTGGTGGCCCTATAATACACAACAACAATGGCCACTGTGCCTCTGCCTCCACTAACACTACTCACATACGTAATATTTCATTCATTCTAGTGTACATATCATGTTTCTGTGTTATTAATATTATTTATTATGTCATGTAGGTAGTAGGTTGGTAGACAGCAACCGCCGAGGGAGGTACTACCGTCCTGCCAAGTGAGTGTAAAACGAAAGCCTGTAATCGTTTTACATGATGGTAGGATTGCTGGTGTCTTTTGTCTGTCTCATAAATATGCAAGATTACAGGTAAGTCTTGCTACTTCTACTTACACTTAGGTCACACTACACATACATGTATAAGCATATATATACACACCCCTCTGGGTTTTCTTCTATTTTCTTTCTAATTCTTGTTCTTGTTTATTTCCTCTTATCTCCATGGGGAAGTGGAACAGAATTCTTCCTCTGTAGCCATGCTTGTCGTAAGAGGCGACTAAAATGCCGGGAGCAAGGGGCTAGTAACCCCTTCTCCTGTATATATTACTAAATTTAAAAGGAGAAACTTCACTTTTTTCTTTTGGGCCACCCCACCTCAGTGGGATACGGCTGGTACGTTGAAAAAAGAAAAAGAAAAGATGTCATATTAGATGAACTTGCTGCTGAAGTTTTTGGTTTTGGAGGCATTGGGTTGTTGTCGTCGTCACTTTCAGAATGTTCCGTGTGCAACACTGATTCTGCAATCTGCAGATGCCTTGAAGCCTGATAGGCCAATCTGCTCGTTGAATTTTTCTGCAGCCATTTTAAGTTCAGCGCCCCAAACCATCGTACCACTACCATGTTGTTGTAGGTACCACTTCATCATGCACTGATCGAGTTTCAAGCTCTGTGGCTTCACCATCATTTTTCTTTCTGCACTTTTTACAGTTTTTGAGGTGGCAGAAACTCACTTTTGTAGGCTATAATCTTATCATGAGCTTTCTTGATATCACAGTGAGTCAACTTTGGGTGGCAGGGGTGGCGAAGAGCATGGTTCCTAGAGGCCAACTGGTACACTAAAGTGCATGCTAAGTTTGATTCAGTCTTGTGCCTTATCCAAACGGCTGTTCGGATGTATCAGTAATAATTTTAGAATTTTGCCCTTTCCCAGGGCCTGTTCGGATATTGGCGAGGTTTGGATAATGGCAGGCTGGATATGCGAGGTATCACTGTACATTTATATTCCTTCTTTTCCTGCCGTAACTGATCCTTCAACATTAATTGCTACTCCTTCCTTAGCTCTAACTATTAGAAACCCTGACCTAATCCCATTTATTTCTCCCCACTAAAACTCTCCTATCCCCTTCAGCTTTGTTTCGCTTAGAGCCAGGACATCCAGTGTCTTTTCATTCATAACATCCAAAATCATCTCTTTCTTATCATGCACACTACATCCACGCACATTCAAACATCCCAACTTAAAGGTTTTCTTCTTTTTATTTTTAGTAAGCTGTACAGGAAAAGGAGTTACTAGTCCATTGTTCCTGGCATAAACATGAATATCTTTCTTTCTTTCAACACACCAGCTGTATCCCACCAAGGCAGGGTGGCCCAAAAAGAAAAATGAAAGTTTCTCTTTTAAATTTAGTAGTTTATATGGGAGAAGGGGCTACTAGCCCCTTGCTCCCGGCATTTTAGTCGCCTCTTGCAACACGCATGGCTTACGGAGGAAGAATTCTGTTCCACTTCTCCATGGAGATAAGAGGAAATAAACAAGAACAAGAACTAGAAAGAAAATAGAAGAATACCCAGAGGGGTGTGTATATATATATGCTTGTACATGTATGTGTAGTGTGACCTAAGTGTAAGTAGAAGTAGCAAGACATACCTGAAATCTTGCATGTATATGAGACAGACAAAAGACACCAGCAATCCTACCATCATGTAAAACAATTACAGGTTTTCGTTGTACACTCACTTGGCAGGATGGTAGTACCTCCCTGGGCGGTTGCTGTTTACCAACCTACTACCTAAAAACATGAATATATCGGAAGAAATTCATAAATAGGATTTAATTATACAGGAAGGCCCCGCTTTACGGCGTTTCACTTTACAGCGTTCCGCTAATACGGACATTTCAAATTATGACCAAAACTCGCTATACGGCTCCCCCCACCTGACTTTCTAATACGGTCACCGTGCCCCACCCTGTTTGTTTACATTCTCCATGAGCTCAGTAAGCACTAAGTCTCTCCATTTTGTCTGGAAACTCCAAAATTTCAAATGTTTTTAAAAGTTATTTCATATTTTATATATACTCTGATAATTATACTTATGTATACCTGTACCTAAATAAACTTACATACTGTGCTGGCATGCAGGTACACATTAAAATTGGTAAGTGTCTTATGTCTCCAGACGTCATATTAGTAATGATAATAATAATCATCGAGTCATTTAAATGTCGTATATTACGTTAATATACACATTTTCATTAATCCATCCATGATATTTTTTTCAAAATTATATAATAAACACGATGCATAACATATAAATAAGATAAATACACCCCACAGTAGAATAAATAAACATAAATGTGAGATGTGGTAGCAGACGACTTGCACAAGTGACGCCATATTAGAAATGATAATAATAATAATAACAATACTCACCGAGTCTCATTAAATGTCGTATATTACGGTAATATACACATTTTCATTAATCCATCCATGATATTTTTTTTCAAAATTATATAATAAACACGATACATAACATAAAAAGATGATAAATACACCCCACAATAGAATAAATAAACAAATATAAGATGTGGGAGCCACATAACTTGTACAAGTGACGGCAAGAATAACATTTTCTCTAATCTAACATAAGAGAAAATGTGTTACTGGGGGTAACTGTAGAAAATTATTCCTTTCGTATGTATGTAAGTTTATTCAGGTATACACAAATACAGTTACATAGATTATCATACATAACAACATACGTGTAGAGAACCTAGGATAACCCAAAAAAGTCAGTGTGACTTATTTCCATTGCCTTCACTCAGAGCTTCATTTCTTCTCAAAATGATGTTACATGAGAATGGGAGTGTTCTTCTTTATTAATTCTACCGTATCAATGTAGAGACAACCTGTACACAATGTAACTTGTACACAAACCAGACGTGTACACTTCATTTGTTTACAAAACTTACGTTCGCCTGGTTTGTTTACATAACTCTGCGCCTGTCCCCTCTCATGTACTCATTCTTTCTCTCTCTTATTTATTCGTTTTATCTCATTTACTTACTCCTGACCCTACATTAAGACTACAAATATTTTAAGGTAAGTAATGAGTGAACTGTATATACATTTTATCGCTCTGGGATGCTTAAATATCATAGAATAGTATGTGTGGGTGGGGTGGCCTGGTAAGGTAGCCTGGCTGTTACCATACATACCACACTTGATTTCTTACAATAAATACTACTTGTCTCACCCTAGATTAAGACTATAAATATTTTAAGGTAAGTAATGAGTGCACTATGTGTGTATTGTACTTTTTTATTGTTTTTTGATGCCTGGTTCTATTGCTAACTTAATATATGTTAGTGTAAACTTGTTATCTAGTGTTTGTATGCATTTATAAGTGGAAAAAAAGGGTGTTCCACTTTACGGCGGTTTCCGCTTTACGGCGGTAGCCTGGAACCTAACCTGCCGTATAAGTGGGGCCCTCCTGTATAATGTTTCACTTGTTGTGTTTATGTGTGGTTAAAGTTCAATGAAGAGCCACTGTCATGGAGAGAAGGACTTGCAAAAAATATTTACAATTTCATTCTTGATCTAATGATTTTTAGTGATGTCCAGTGTAATTTCTTTAATTATGGTATGTAAAAATAATGAGAAATAGTAATCTGCATTTTCTTTATATTTTTTCAGAAAGGTGTGAGGAGGTTACCTCTTCTCTATCCTTGCTGATGGAAGGTGTGGGAACAAGACATATTGAATCAACTGCCGTATTTCAGTATATCACTACCAAATATAGACTGACCCTCAAGTAAGTTTATACAGTTATTCATAATACAAGACCATACACCTAAAAAAATAAAGAGTAACAGAAGAGAGAGTGATGAGTGATTTAAGATTGTGGAAACCACATTTATAACTTAGGTGAAGTCAGTATTGATCTAGTGAGAATTGTTCCCAGTATTTGATCTAGTGAGAATTGCTCACAGTATTTAATCTAGTGAGAATAAGTGCCAATAAGTTGAAAGGTTAGAAGTGCTTGTTGAGACACAGCAGAATTTTTCACAGAGAACTTTAGAAAGAGATAAGATGAGAGAGGAAACCCCCGAATGGAGACAAAACAAGGAAGAATGATTATCTGAATGTTTCAACCTCCAACTGAGGTTCTCTTCAATACATTCAGAAGAATGAGAGAACAGAGTGCAACACTATAATTTGTATGCTTTTACATCTGTGTACTTCACTTATTTGACTTTTTTTCAAGTTCATGACATGTACATGTATCTTTCTTTCAACAAACCGGCTGTATCCCACCAAGGCAGGGTGGCCCAAAAAGAAAAACAAAAGTTTCTCTTTTTAAATTTAGTAATTTATACAGAAGGGGTTACTAGCCCCTTGCTCCTGGCACTTTAGTCGCCTCTTTCAACACGCATAGCTTACGGAGGAAGAATTTTGTTCCACTTCCCCATGGAGATAACAGGAAATAAACAAGAGCAAGATCTAGTAAGAAAATAGAAGAAAACCCAGAGGGGTGTGTATATATATGCTTGTACATGTATGTGTGGTGCGACCTAAGTGTAAGTAGAAATAGCAAGATGTACCTGAAATCTTGCATGTTTATGAGACAGACAAAAGACACCAGCAATCCTACCATCATGTAAAACAATTACAGGCTTTCGTTTTACACTCACTTGGCAGGACGGTAGTACCTCCCTGGGCAGTTGCTGTCTACCAACCTACTACCTACATGTACATGTATATCCTAATCAATTCACGTTTTTTTTTTATTCCAGAATTTCACGATAGTTCCTTTGTATAAAGGCAAAGGGGACAAAAGGGAGTGCAAAAATTATAGGGGGATAAATCTGTTGAGTATACCTGGTAAAGTGTATGGTAGAGTTATTATTGAAAGAATTAAGAGTAAGACGGAGAATAGGATAGCAGATGAACAAGGAGGCTTTAGGAAAGGTAGGGGGTGTGTGGACCAGGTGTTTACAGTGAAACATATAAGTGAACAGTATTTAGATAAGGCTAAAGAGGTCTTTGTGGCATTTATGGATTTGGAAAAGGCGTACGACAGGGTGGATAGGGGGGCAATGTGGCAGATGTTGCAGGTGTATGGTGTAGGAGGTAGGTTACTGAAAGCAGTGAAGAGCTTTTACGAGGATAGTGAGGCTCAAGTTTGAGTATGTAGGAGAGAGGGAAATTATTTCCCAGTAAAAGTAGGCCTTAGACAAGGATGTGTGATGTCACCGTGGTTGTTTAATATGTTTATAGATGGGGTTGTAAGAGAAGTAAATGCGAGGGTCTTGGCAAGAGGCGTGGAGTTAAAAGATGAAGAATCACACATAAAGTGGGAGTTGTCACAGTTGCTCTTTGCTGATGACACTGTGCTCTTGGGAGATTCTGAAGAGAAGTTGCAGAGATTCGTGGATGAATTTGGTAGGGTATGCAAAAGAAGAAAATTAAAAGTGAATACAGGAAAGAGTAAGGTTATAAGGATAACAAAAAGATTAGGTGATGAAAGATTGGATATCAGATTGGAGGGAGAGAGTATGGAGGAGGTGAATGTATTCAGACATTTGGGAGTGGATGTGCCAGCGGATGGGTCTATGAAAGATGAGGTGAATCATAGAATTGATGAGGGGAAAAGGGTGAGCAGTGCACTTAGGAGTCTGTGGAGACAAAGAACTTTGTCCTTGGAGGCAAAGAGGGGAATATATGAGAGTATAGTTTTACCAACACTCTTATATGGGTGTGAAGCATGGGGCAGTGGAGATGTCATGTCTGAGGGCAATGTGTGGTGTGAATATAATGCAGAGAATTCGTAGTTTGGAAGTTAGGAGGAGGTGCTGGATTACCAAAACTGTTGTCCAGAGGGCTGAGGAAGGGTTGGTGAGGTGGTTCGGACATGTAGAGAGAATGGAGCGAAACAGAATGACTTCAAGAGTGTATCGGTCTGTAGTGGAAGGAAGGCGGGGTAGGGGTCGGCCTAGGAAAGGTTGGAGGGAGGGGGTATAGGAGGTTTTGTGTGCGAGGGGCTTGGACTTCCAGCAGGCATGCGTGAGCGTGTTTGATAGGAGTGAATGGAGACAAATGGTTTTTAATACTTGATGTGCTGTTGGAGTGTGAGCAAAGTAACATTTATGAAGGGGTTCAGGGAAACCGGCAGGCCGGACTTGAGTCCTGGAGATGGGAAGTACAGTGCCTGCACTCTGAAGGAGGGGTGTTAATGTTGCCGTTTAAAAACTGTAGTGTAAAGCACCCTTCTGGCAAGACAGTGATGGAGTGAATGATGGTGAAAGTTTTTCTTTTTCGGGCCACCCTGCCTTGGTGGGAATCGGCCAGTGTGATAATAAAATAAAATATAATAATTTCACGATTGAAAATCTGAAGGAAAATAATTTTTATTTATTACAGTACAGTACGATATTTTATTTACTCTGCCAGTTACATAATCAGTATAATGTAATATTTTATGTAGGGAATTTTTAGTCAGTAATATAGTAAATAAAGAGTAGCCGTGGTTTGTAATATGTATTACTGCAGTCATTTCCTCTTCTGTTTTTTAGTAATCGATTCAGTAACAGAGGTTGCTATCCCTTTGCTGCCACCAGTCTGCTGCTGAATGATGCTAACTACCATCACAAACAAAAACTTTCTTAAAGCTTACCAAAAATACATGAAAGAGAGCAAATGAAAGTAGATACAGATGACAGGTGTAATGAAAGTAGATACAGATGACAGGTGGAATGAAAGTAGATACAGATGACAGGTGTAATGAAAGTAGATACAGATGACAGGTGTAATGAAAGTACTGTACATATATACAGATGATGGCTAGTGAAAGTAGATACAGATCACAGGACTAGTGAAAGTACTGGGTATTCATAATTCATACAGAGTGAACAGCTTGTGGAAAAAATTAGGTTGTGTTCCCCCCCCCCCCACACACACACCATTTGTTTTTATTTACCTCATTTTGTTGTATCTTTATCATCATCATGTAGGAGTTCATTGATATATGGCTGCATATCTGTGAGTCCCTCACCTGGCACTCTCCTTGCTAGATCAACAATTTCCTGGACCTGGTTTTATGCTGATGGAAAACCTCCAAAATCATTCACCGCACTAGGCCATATTTTTCTTCAACTAGCATGTATTTCTGATGTTGGTACATGATGCTATTTCTGTTTACATAGGAGAATGCAACTGCAATGTTAAATTTGAACCAAGACTCTGGCATTCCACTGTATGTGTAGTGGCACTTAACCCTTTCAGTGTCCATACCCTTGATCTGAAAATTCCTCTCAGATTCCAAGAATTAAAAAAAAAAAAAAAAATTCTTTTGAAATGGTAGAGAATCTTTTTCCGAAGGTAATGAAAACTTACAGAATATGCTTTCGCAAGCTTAGCAGTCTCGATGATATTTACACATAAGCGATTTTGCCCACTTTGAGTCCTATTTTAGACCAATTCCATTGTTCCAGTCAATCGATGGAATCGAAGGCATACTAGCTCTTTCAACTAGTATGCTTTCCATTATATTGGTTAAGAACAAGAAACCACCCATTTAACTATTTTAACTACCCAATAAAGTGATCAGAAATTGGTAATTTGGCCAATTTTGCAATAAATTCAAGAGTTGCCAATTTAAAAATAGGTTACAGAATAAATAATGTAGATATTACTGGCACTAAAACAGCATTTCATCAGTTCATTAGTTATGTCCCCAGGCCTCTCCTATATTAATTACATTTGCTTGCCATTTTGAATTATTGTTCACACAAAAACACAGAAGATTTACTGTTATACAGACTACTGCATTATTGTAATAATTGTATAAATGATGTCAATGTATATTAAACCAACCAGTTAGATGCATATTGGACAAGTGACATAATTTGTGTCCTCTGGAATATCTGCAAAAATTTAACATTTCTGCTACTTTGAGCTCAATTTCAAGCTACTTTCAGTCCTGAAACCAAGAATAAAACCGTAAAATACATTTGAAAATACACCACAAAATCGCTATTTTAAACCAAAAACGCATTTGCATTTTTTTCCCATCATGCACTGTGTGAGACAGGACCTTTTTTTTATATATATGGTGCACACTCACCACATAGACCCATATTCTCGTCTCTAGGCCCAAATTTACCACTCACAGCTTACCTGCGCGAGCTGAGCTCGTCACGGAAATATACAGCTCTGACCCAGAGTTCAGATCTGTATGTATTACTATGGCACCGACCTCAAAAGGATTAAATGTTTTCATAACCCCTTGATCCAGGTTGTATCAAGGATGTCATATTTGGTGGTAAAAAGACATTCTTGATACTGCTCCACATCCTCCAGGAGTTGAAGATACCTACAGCAATTATCAAGGATGAGGAGAACCCAGAATGCAAGATTTTTCAGGGAGAGGTATATCCTCACTTCAGGAATAAAGTGATGCTTAAACCACTTGGTGAAGGCCTCAGATACCCATGCTATAGAGTTGGACTTCCAAATATCTGGCAATGTGCTTTTCTCTTTATCTTTTAAAGCACAGGGTTTCATGGAGCAATAAACAAGCATGAGCTTTCATTTAAAGTCATCTGAAACATTACTGCAAAGAAGCAAGCCAAAATGGTCTTTTGTGGTGCATTGAATTCAGAAGCGTTTTTTCTCATTTACTGATGTATGTTCTAGATAGCATCTTTCAAAGCAAAACTGTCTTACCAACATTAAATACCTACTTAGGTTTGTAGCCACCCTCAGAGATAATGTTTGCCAGCTTGGCCAGGATCTTTTCTATGGAAATGTGGT